AAAAATATTTATTTTTATTTTATGTGTATGAGTATTTTGCCTGCATGTATGTAGTAAGTATACCACAGGCATGCAATTCATGTAGAGGCTAGTAGAGGGCGTCAGATCCCCTGGAACTGGAGTTATGGACAGTTGTTAACCACCATGTGAGTGCTGGGAACCAAACCAGGGTCCTCTGCAAGAGTAGCCAGGGCTCCTAACTGCTGAGCCATCTCTCCAGCACCAGGACTTAGTCTTTACTTGCTAGTTGTGCTGTGTTTTGCTTTGGAAAGCCTCTTGGAGGTAATGTTATATCCCCTGTCTTTCTCTCATTTTTGGTGTCACCTAGGGTAGAACATTGTGACTGATTAAGCAGTTTTACTTCAGTTTAGATGCCAAGATGAGGTAACCTATGAATAGAGAAGTGTCATGTAGATTTGTTACACTAAAGGTTGTACAGTTACAACATTGCTTCTGGAAGAGTTATTTATAACAGTTTGAATTAAGCATAAGGCCTTTGTAGTATGAGGCTAGTGACTTCTGAAAGCTTTATCCAATAACTGGCAATCTGCTTAGAAAGAAGTAGGAGAAATACGCACTTCTTATGAACATTTAAAAAGTTGTTTACATTTATGTTTTTGTGTGTGTTAGTGTGTTTGCTTACACACAGATGCCATGACATGTATGGAGTTTAGAGGCCAGCTTGCAGGAGTCATTTCCATCTTTCTACCATGTTCCCAGAGATTGAACCCAGGTCATTAGGCTTGGTGGCAAGTGCTTTTACCCACTGAGCCAACTCTGCCCATGAATGTTTTATATAGAAAGTTCCATTATATATAACTAAGAATAGGGGCTCTAGATTCTCCAGTGTGTCCCCACAAAAAGGCATGGAGTTATGATTTCCTTTTTTAAAAAAATTTATTTATTATTTTGATTTTATGTGTATGTGTGTATTGCCTGCATCTATGTAAGTACACCCATGTCGTGCAATGCCCACAGCGGTCAGAAGAGCGCATCAGATCCCCTGGAACTGGAGTTATGGACAGTTGTTAGCCACCTTGTGGGTACTGGGATTCGAACGTGGGTCTTCTACAAGAACATTCAGTGTTTTTGACCTGTTGAGCCATCTCTCCAGCCCCCATGATTTCCTTTTATGCACAGTGAAGTGTTCCTCCTCTTCCTCACTCCTCACAGTACTGGGGTACATGGCCACACCTGGCTTTTTATGTGGGTACTGGGGATTCTAACTTGGAGCCTCATGCTCATATACAAGCACTGTTACTCACTGAGCTAGCTCCCCCCCGCCCCCAGCATTAAATGTGATCTTTTAGATGGAGTCCTTAAACCAGCACTGGAGCCATACTAGGTGCTCAGTTACTGTTGGCTGTTACCCATGTTACTGATTGAGTTACTAGTCTTCTTAAGTGGGTTTGTATCATTTGGGGGTGGGCAGGATGATGGCTACTTTTAATTGTTAATTTGACACAGTCTGGGATCACCTGGAAATAGTTTCCATGAGGGATTGTCTGCTTTGGGTTGGCCTGTCTGTGGGGGATTGTCTGTATTAATTGAGTGGGAAGACCTGCCAGTTGTAGGTGGCACCATTTCCTTGGGTCCTGGACTGAGTATGAGAGTGGAGAAATGAGCTGAGCACTAGCTTGATGATTCATTCCTCTCTGCCCTGGACTGTGACTGACCAGCTGCTTCAAGTTCCCGCAGCCTTGGCATCTCCAGTGTTGGACTGTGAGCTGGAATTATGAGCCAAATAAGCCATTTCTTCCTTCAGTGGCTTCTGTCAGGGTATTTTATCACAGCAACAGGAAACAAAACTAAGGTGGTGAGGAGTACTCAACTTCACATTAGTGTTTGAAAATTATAAACAGTGGTGATGGGGCTGGAGAGATGCTCAGTGATTAAGAGCACTGGCTGCTCTTACAGAGGACTCGCCAGGTTCAGTTCCCAGCACCTACATGGTGGATCATAACCATCTGAAACTCTGGTTTCAGGGGATCTGACACCCTCTTCTGACCTCTTTGGACATTATATGCACATGGTGTATTTGCATACATGCATGAAAAATATTCATATAAATAAAAATAAATTTTAAAACAGTGATGATTAATTTATATGTATTTTCTGTTTTCAAACAGGTTGAATGTCATTTTTACAAAATTTGATGAAGTCCAGAAATCTGGAAACATGATACAGTCTGCAAATGGTGAGCAGGAAAAGCGGTGTCGGTTTCTACCCTTTCTAGTTTCGTGGCAATAAGGCTTAAGCTGCTTCTGAACAGATTTTAGTTACCTCAGTAAGGTTTTCTAGGTCTTAGACTTAACCTTCATTCACCTCCTTTCCCAGGCCAAAAACCAGTTTCACACTGGTTTCTTTCATAGCCCTATATTGAATCCATTCGCCAGGCTGTTTACCTCATCATTGCCACTGTATCAGGCTTTGTGGTTCTTTATGGCTCTCTTGGTGGCATCTGACCAGTACCTGGCGCCTCTCCTCCCCGTATCTACAATCTGTCTTCATTTAGCAACTAGAGTAATCCTTTCAGAATGCACATAAGGTGCTGTTAATCACCCACCTCACATCCACAGCCAGACTGATGTAGCGGCCCTCCAGGCTCTGGGAATGTGGGGCCTACACCCCTGTTCCCATGTCATTCTTCCTGTTCTTTCTGAAAGTTCTCTCTGCTGATGCAAACATTCTGAGCATGCTGATTCCCTCTTCCTGTCCCCTGGTATTATGGCTCCTTCCTTTCACTGTGCTCTTCGTTCCAGAGGTCACCCAGAACATCATGGTCAGGGATCCAAAGGGGCCTCTCCCCTGCCCTGTTTGATACTTCTTAATGGTTTTCACTGTAAAATACTTGTTTATTCATAGGACAGGACCTCTGTGTCATTCCCTTTACTTTTTTGTGTGTTTGTGTGTTACCTTATTCCCACTGAGCTTCAGTGCCTCAGAAAATCCCTGGTATGTGCTAGGTATGTGATAAGTATTGTTCCATGAATCCCAAGGGTCTGGGATGTGAATGGCAGCCTATCATCCCCAGAACCTAGCTGCTTTCACTCTTCTGTGATAATATTTGAGGAAAATTGGATAATTCTTGTGATTCAAAAAGGGGAGGAAAGACAGCAGTGAATTACTATAAGAATGAAAAGCCATCTGAGATGGAGTGGCAACAGGAATTTTTTAAACTGTGGATATCTCATAGCATCATAGATGTTTGATTTTTAAATTTATTTTAAAATTCTGTGTATGTATGCGTGTGCGTGTACGTGTGCTTTCTTGTGTGTGTTTGCAGGCATGTACATGGAATAGTATGTGTAAAGGTCAGAGGACAGCCTCAGGTGTCAGATGTGGGTCCTCACCGAAAGTCAGGTGAAGAGAAGGAGTTTAATTTCACACTAGTGTCTGGAACTGACCCACAGATCATTCTGTAAAAAGAGTCAGCTCCCCACTCAAAATTTGGGGAGGACTTTATAATCATATGTGAGGAAATGCAAGCAAAAGGGAAAACAGCACATACAAGTGATAATTAAGTAAACCAGTACATGTGATAATAAGTAGTTTACAGGTTTATGGTCATAAATAACAGGAATGTGAAAGCTTTGGGGAACAAAGACTTCTGTCCTGCGTCACTGCAGGGTCAGGGGAGAAGACTCTTGTTCACCTCCCCATCTCTATCTCTTGTCCTGCTCCAAAGTTCTTAATTACCATCACATAGCATCCATCTGATATGCTCTTCTGTTTCCATTATAGTTCTACATTCCACTGTACATGCCATTCTCCTGTCCCTGCCTGCCATCTCCACACAGGAGATGGGATTACCCACAGGGTTACCACAGCTGGCTTTTATGTGAGCTCTGGGGATTTGAACTCAGGTCCTCAGGATTATGTAGTAAGCAATTTTCCTGTTGAGCCATCTTCCAACTCCATGTCTGTTTTAGAACTGTTAGGGCATATAGAGCAAAGTCTTTACATTTTGTATAACTTGAGGTTGTGAAAGAATGCTTGCAGGTATCAGGGCAGACTGCATTCCGAGCCTCTGACTCACCCTGTGTGCTCTTGCCATGCTTCTATTGGTATTCCTGAAGAATTCTTCTTTGGACAGTGTGTTTTTTATACAATACCTAAAATGACCTAAATTACTTCTCTTTTAAGGTGTTTTTGTTTTGTTTTGAGACATGTAGCCCAGGATAGTTTTGCATTCACTATGTAGCCAAGGTTGACCTTGAACTGAGTGCTGGGATTATAAGCATGCACTACCATGCTTAGTGATAAGTTACATTCATTAATCTCCCATATTTCTTTCTCATATGATTACAAAACCATAAGCAATATTAAAATGGAAGAAAATGAGTAATATTAATGTAATTTAGCAGTTACCAACAAAACTTATTTTCCTACATTTCCTGTAATTGTATAATTTTTACATAGTTTCAGTCATGGTATAATTTTCACCATTTAAACCCTGTGCTTTTGTATGTTCTTTTATGTACCTTCAAAATTCTGTCATTGGTAGGCTTGGGACCAGAGCTCTGGCATCTGAGTCATGCCCCAGTTTGGAATGGGTTCATGGGGGTCCAGGGGCAGGGCCATCCAGGCAGTTAGCTGCTGGACACACACTTCCACTTTGATGTGTGAATTTGGGTTAATTTGTGTTGTTTCTCAGTGGGGAAATTGTTGGCACTAAGAAAGTGCTGGACAAGAAGCAGCAGTCCTTGGGGCTGGAGAGAGGCTCAGCAATTCAGAACGCCTGCTGTGCTTGCAGCAGAGCTGAATTCCAGTTCCCAGGACCCAGGAAGAGGTTCACAGTCACCGTAACTCTAACTGTAGTTCTGGGGACTCCAACACCCTCTTCTGGTCTCTGGAGTGTCTGCATGCCCATGGTGCACACAGACATGTACGCACATACACATTAAAAAATAGAAATCTTTTTTTAAGAAGCAGTGGTCATGTCAGAAGAGCAAGTTTGTACTGCCACTGTGAGGCAGAATCTGCAATAGAGCCTTTCCTTTTAAAAGCTGTTTTGGAACCAGGCATACTGACTCATACCTACAATTCCAGCACTTAAGAAGCTGAGGAAGATTGCTGTGAATTTGAGTCCAGCCTTAGCTACAGTGTGCAACCCTGTCTCAAAAAAGGGGCTGGAGGCTGGAGAGATGGTTCAGTAGTTAAGAGCATTGGCTACTCTTATAGGGGATCTGGGTTATATTTCCGGCACCCACAAAGCAACTAACAACAGTCTGTTCTAGGGGATCTGACACCCTCTTCTGGCTTCTACAGGCATTGCACACATGTTGTACACTTACCAACAGGCAAAACACTCATACACATAAAAATTTTAAAAGTAATGAATTTTTTTTTGGTCTTTTTGAGACAGGGTCTCCCTGTAGCCCCAGCTTGTCTGAAGCTCACTATGTAGACTAAGCTGGCCTTGAACTCAAGAGATCTGCCTGCCTCTGCCTTCTGACTGCTGGGGCTAAGGGCTTTAGGACAAGTGCCAGTCAGTGAATGAAGTGAGTGTCATGTTCCCCCATGGGAAGTATCTGTGTCAATGAGAAGCTAGCAGGGATTGAAAGTGGGTGAGCTGTCATGTCCTCTCTGCTACTCTTTAGTTTTGCGACCTGGAGCAAGCTTGTGAATTCTTAGGAGGGCTCTGTTTGCTCTCCTGAAAGCACCTTTGTGGAGATGAGCAGGGTGAGATCACAGGTAGAGCTTACACAATGCCTGGATGGAGCTGGTGCTCAAGATGATAGGTTTCCCCCAGGTGCTACACTGGAGACATATATTTATTTTTTACATAAAAAGAACATCATTTGAAAGTGAATACATACTTGTTTTTTAAGAGTTTCAAGTTATTTTGCTGGGTGTGGTGGCGTACACCTTTAGTCTCAGCACTTGGGAGGCAGAGGCAGGTGGATCTCTGTGAGTTCAAGGCCAGCCTGGTATACAGAGTGAGTTCCAGGACAGTTGGGGCTATAGAGAGACCCTGTCTCAAAAAACCCAAAAAACAGAACGAAAAAGAGTTTCAGGTTATTTTGAGGCATGCATTTGAATTTTTTCTCCAAGGGAACTTTTTATTTATACAGGGCCCTAACCACTTCAGTGGTAGGAGGAGTAGGAAAGGTTCCTTTTTCAGTCCAGGAACTTCTGTGATGTGGTTTGTTGTTACCAAACAAACAGGCAAGTGGTAGCATGCTAATGACAATGTTTATTCTCTCTCTGCTAGAACAACCAGGTGAGAGTTAATCTCTGCTTCTGTAATAATCCTGAATTTAGGATTTCTAACTGTGACTACTCCAACTTCTATTTCTGAAGATTTGAAATCAATTGACAGAACAGTAGGCAGGTGTGTAATTACAGTTTCCATTCCATTTAAAATCTCCAGTTAAATTTCTTCTTATGACTCCCTCCCTCCTTCTTTTTTTTTGAGACATGGTCTCCCTGTAGCCCCAGCTGTCCTGGAACTCACTATGTAGACCAGGCTGGCCTTGGACTCACAGAGATCTACCTGCCTCTGCCTCCCGAGTGCTGGGATTAAAGGCGTGCGCCACCACGCCCGGCCTCATTTTCTTTTTTGAGACAGGGTAGCCCTGGCTGGCCTGGAACTTGCTTTGTAGACCAGGCTGACTTGGAACTCACAGAGTTCTACCTGCTTCAACCTCCTGAGTGCTGAGATTAAAGGTGTAGGCCAGCCACCATGCCCTGCCCCTTCAATGTCCCCCCACCCCAAGGAAGCTGGTTGACTTGGTTTGTTAACGCCTGCTGCAGTGGCTTTAACCCCACAGTAGTAATCTACAGGATCATACGTGTACACCGGAGGACTTGTTCTTCAGCTTTACCAGTTAAAACCATAAGACAACCAAGTGGCTTCATTTCTGCATTCTAGGTGTAGACTTGAGAAATATGAGCAATTCTTTTACATAGCTTGTCCACAGGAACCTCATAGCCATGTTTGTATTTCCCAATTAGCTGCCTCTTTGTGTGCCCTATCCCTGGGTTCTGCTCCCAGTGTCATTCCGGTCATCACACAGCCAGTGTTTCCAGTTATCTTGAACAAGTGAGTCACTGTGCTGGAATCCAGTAAATTGTCAGGTACTTTCTGCTATGTGACGCTGCAGTCTTTTCCTCTGACAACTACTGATGTAAGGCCCTCTGGTTGATAGTTTTAAAGGGGCATTCTGCTTGGTAGACTCAGTTCGTAGGCAA